AGTGGTTTCACTGGGTTTCAGCATTGGTTTTAAGACAGGCAGAAGCTTCCACAGTCATACAAGAAACTAACTGGTCAATTTCTACAAGTTTTGTATGCAAAAAGAGAACTGCACAGTCACTAGCGCCATACAGGTTTGCACAGACATCTATTACTACCACAAATAATTTATAGTGACATCCTTCCAAACCATTTGTTAGAGAAAGGTATATTTTCAAATATTAACAAAAGAGATCATAAAGGAAAAGACTGTGTTCTTATGCACACTTGAAAATCCAAAATATTTGACTGCTTGAAAGTAGTTCTGAAGAATAGACATTATAATATTCTAGACTTCCACGAAAATTCTGGTCAACATTTTCCACCTGGGGTGACTACAGTTCAGGCATTCAGGTTCTTCTGGGCAATGCAGGCTCACTAGCTGGACCTTTGTTTCTTGCTAGTACAAGGCAAAGGCACTAATCTCTGAACATCACCCACAACAACCAAAGGGACCTTATGCTCCCCCTGTACAACTGAGAGAAACTTGGATGGAGCCTCTCTGCACTTTAGTGGTTCCCAGCTGCATTCCTGACCCGGGTGCACTGGCAGCAGCAGCAGGTGATAGAACCAGCAGTTTTCACACTGCTCCATTTAAAATTGGGCAAACAGCCTCTATTCAATCTGCTCAGAAGCCCGATGGTTCTTTTACTCCTTCGTGCTCTTACTGACACTGTGGCTATAAACCCTGCCTAGCACAGGCAGCCTGATATGGTGAGTACTCGTAACAGGAGTGGTGGAAAGTTGATTATATATATAAAATACAACACTTCCCCTTAGAAAGAAATTTGCACATTTGATTCAAATTTCCATTTACTACAGTACTGACTACGAACATGTGGAAAACCAAAATCTTATTATGCAGGTGTCTAGACAAAGGCGCCCTCATCTGCAGATACTGGGTTCCCTTTATTCTATCTAAATAATCAGACATACTGACATCTTAAGGAAAAAATACCTCTGCAGAGGGTTTTTCACATGAATATATGTAAATAATTTTTTTTTTATTCATTACTAATAAGGAATTAATTGTTTGGTTCAGGATCGTTGCTGTGAAAGCACCCTTCTGCATCAGTTCAGACATTTCCTTTGACACTCTAAAGCTCAGTGAAATATCCACAAGACCCCAAAAGCTACACAAAATCCATCTTCAGTTCCAACATAGAATCAGAATTCTTGCTATACTTGCTGAAAAGACCATCAAAAGTCACAAATTTGTATGCACTTAAGGACACACGAAGGTTTTTTTTCATCAAAATAAATGTCCAAGTACTTCCAATAACAGCAGAAGTGACATTTCATTCCAGAAGAATGTTTTCACATTGCTCTTCTGTAGTCAGAATTAGTAGCTACTATCAATTTAACAGCTATTAGCGGTAGATAGATGAATAACTCTACCAGCTATAAAGTAACTGTAGTGGACAGTGTTATAAAAACACAATAGGTATTTTTAAAATAGGTATATCATTAATGATGGGATAAAACTGTGTCTATTCATATGTCTTTCTATATGATTTAGTAAGCCATATCAAGAATCGCAAAGGATCCTGAGTCATACAAAGGCCGATTATTGTATCCAGTTCTGGGCCCCTCAGCTCAAGAGAGACAGGGAACTGCTGGAGAGAGTCCAGCGCAGAGCCACAGAGATGATGAAGGGAGTGGAACATCTCCCTTATGAGGAAAGGCTGAAGGAGCTGGGTCTCTTTAGCTTGGAGAGGAGGAGACTGAGGGGTGACCTCATTAATGTTTATAAATACGTCAAGGTGGAGTGTCAGGAGGACGGAGCCAGGCTCTTTTCAGTGACATCCAATGACAGGACAAGGGGCAATGGATACAAGCTGGAACATAGGAGGTTCCACAAAAATATTAGGTAAAACTTTTTCACTAGGAGGGTGACAGAGCACTGGCACAGGCTGCCCAGGGAGGTTGTGGAGTCTCCTTCTCTGGAGACATTCAAAACCCACCTGGACGTGCTCCTGTGTGACCTACTGTAGCTGATCCTGCTCTGGCAGGGGGGCTGGACTAGATGTTCTTTTGAGGTAACTTCCAACCCCTGACATTCTGTCATTCTGTGGTTAGAGACACAGACCTCACCACATCTCTACAAAATGATGCCCAGGGCTTGAGTGAGTTCCATGTGCACATCGGATCTACATTTTGTAGCACGTCCTCTCACTAGAAAGGACAACATTAAATCCTTGATTTGAAAATGCTGCAAAGTTTACGGTATTTGGCTTCCTAATCACAATCTAAATTATAAAAATAGGCCCCATGTTAAGATAAGAACAAAGAAAGAAAAGGACTGGTAAAGGAGAAAGGAAATCGATAAGATAAATAGATTTTTCTAAACAGACTGTATTAGAATTTTCCATGAAGTATCAACTATTCTTTTAACACACAGCTGTGCGGAACTTCTTATTAAAAGAAGTTGCTAAAGACATAGAATTAAATGCAAAGGGGGTGAATATTTTAGAAAATAATTGCAGTATTGTTGGATTTAATCCATTTAAATTTAATCCTGATTTAGTGTAAAACATTAAAATACAAAATATATATAAAAAAAAGAATAGGGAATTATAATGGAAAAGCCAGCTCAATCTTAGCTATAGCAGTAATACAAACATTACTAGAATACAGTAATTATAAGCAATACATCAATAGTTATGTATAATAGATACATTTAGGTCTTGATATCTGTGGTAGACCAGTTGCTCAAGGCCACTAAAATATTAATTTACATCCAACACCAGCTAAATGTGCAAGAACTTCAATTCAAATGAGCAACAGTTACAGTGGAAATGTCTGTGCACTGTGCAGAATACACAGGCTGAAATAAACTTTCGACTTTGGAACACCTTGTTAGCCTGCCCCTTATCAGTGGAAACACCAGAAACTTCTATGTGCATCCTGAAGGTATGTAGTTTAATCTGTGGTGCTGAAAAAACGGTCATCAAAGACAATCTTGAACAAAACTGCAAATGGACAGATCATTGCATTTCTTTCTTTTCTTTGAAATTCTCCATGCATTCACCTTTGAGCGCTCAGTTTTCTGCACACTCTTTGGATATCATAATTTTGGCCTCCATTACAGCGTAGAGGTTACATTAAATAATATTTGGCTTGCTTTTTTATTGTAACAAATCTGCATGTGATTTTGTTCAGTAGAAATTAAAAATGTGACGCTACATCCTGGCATTGAGGTTGAGCCTGGTCAACCACATAAAATAATACTTTGCACTTCTAAATGCTTTTCATCAGAGGATATTCAAGTGCTTTGCTAACATTAGTCAAGCCTCACAACACCCCTGTGAGGTAGGTAAAATACATAGGAAGAGAAAGATTTCACTCAACTTGGACATGATAATGTCTTTGGGCATTAGGTTCACTAGCATTGCAACATAGCACAAAGGTTTAGGGCTTACTATAAGGCAAAGAATTAACCGTACAAGAGCACAGGATTCCCTCTTTTGCTTATATGTGGTCAACCTAATATGCAGTGTTACTCAGCACCAAACAACAGAGTAAATGCTCACACAATGATTTCATGCACCTAATCCACAAACAGCACTCTCTGCATGGCAAAAGACACAAAATGACCATCTCAAGATGGGTATGACACTTTAATTATGGGATGTGTCTACCAGGTCTTGAGGAGCAGAGTCCCATGGGAATGAGAGCCCGGAAAACAATACTGTCTCCACACAACTCTGACAATATCTGAGGATGCTTGAGTTTGGCTCTTTTTGCACTCATGTTTCAGTTCATAGCTTACTGGGGATAACCAACTGCAACCATAAAGCACGTTGGTAACTTCCACACCTTGAGAAGGAAACTGCTGCTTTCTACTTTGGCTGCCCACATGTTCCCAGTGTACAGGGCCATGATGTGGTCAGACGGTTGTCACAGGCTGGGATGGGATAAAGAAACATGGTTGTACATCTACATTCCCCTCTGACGCTGTTGCAATCTGCCTCCTGAAAACTCTGCAGTTTTGTGAGGGTTTTTTTCTCCACAGTGAAAACATGGGAAAGTATTTGGACCTCATTAGGTTTATCCTCAACACTTAACAGCAATGGTGCGGATGGTCATTGTACAAGTAGCAGTTCCACTGTGTCACTGATGTTTCAGATTAAGGATTGAGAAAAAGAAACAAACTTAAGACAAGCATCACTCATCTACAACAGTATATGTGACATACAAAAAAATAGAAAGAAAACACTGTTGTCAGTATTAGGCAGTACAAATAAACATCCCCTCCCCCCTTTCCTTTCTCCATATTTCACTTTTCTAAGTCGGCATAAACGGTACATTCCATGCCCACGTAGAGAATCTGACCTGTCTAACATAATTAATCACTGGTCTACCACATGCAAGACAGCCCTCTTGGGTAATTTAATGTCTTTGCATGCAAGATATTCTCAGTTTTTGCTAATCTCCATTTGAATTTTATGTTTATTTATAATACCTGTGCACTACCACACAGGTACTTACTACCACACAGGCTGGGTGACCCATAGTGAGTATCACTGCCCTGAAAAATAGCTGAGAAGAGGTCGCTCGTAGATTCTGTGCAATCAATTCAAAGTTCCCCTCAAACACTGCATATGTTCACAGCCAGAAGTACACTGTTCCACTGATCAGCAGTGAACAAATGTATGTGATTATAATGCATGGATGATGTACTTCTTATGTTCTCTCTCCTCCACAGTCCTCATGTTCCTCATTCTCCTCTCTCTCTTCTTCTTAGCTAAATATGGGAATATGGAAACTGCAGATATAACAAGTGGCAACTCAGAAAATGAGCTGGCATCTTTGTAATCATTAAGAGACAATCTGAGACTAATTGGTAGCTAGTGGGAAAGTTGACTTTACATCTCATACTGTCCAAAGTTGGAAGCCTTCTGCATTTCCTTTTCTTTGCTTTCCTTTTGTTCGTTGCAACACTGATTGTCATAGATAGTCTTTGTGCTTTGTATAATGCCCATCTTTGATGTAACTAGAACTCACGTACAAAATGTGGCTGTTAAGCATGCTAGAATACAGGCAGGGACAGTACAAGCATGCACAAAATAGTCTTCAAAGGGGTTTTTGTTTGTTTTTCTTCAACATTTACATGCACCACAATACCATGTTTGGTTGTGTACACTGAGAACTGGATTTCACAAGCATTCATGATCTTCTCTTCTGAAAAGCTTCTTGACAGTTACACAAGAGCCCAGTGTTTAAAAAAATTCCACAATTTAATAAAAAAAGGGAAAAAACCCCTTATCCCTGCAATCTGATCTTGTCTTCATGATTTTAATGCTGAACACTTCTAAAAAGTATCCCGTTCGTTTTGCAGAGCTTCATGTTCAGTGATAGGCTGGAAACACAGATTAGTGTGTCAAGGATTTTCTTAGCCACTGGAATAGTTCTTCCTTATAAAGCTTTTGCCATCGCACATTGGCTTCCACTGTCTCCACGGCACGAGAGAAAGAGGCAGCAGCTCCACCTTCATAACTCTTTATAAAGTTCTTTAGCTGGGAATACAAGTTAACAGATTAAATTTGCAGGAAAAAAAAAAACCAAAAACAAAACCCACCAAGCAAGCACCATAAAGTAAATATTTCCAGTGCACACACACAAGTCAGGCACTTAGGACAAATCTCCACAACCACTGTTAAAGTAAATGTAGTTTTATGCAGAAAGATTTAATAGGAAATGTAATAAGACAGTAGACTGTCAATTAGATGTGATACAATTGCTTCAAATTGCACTGGAAGATATTGACATGTCAGTGCCGGATCACATTAATATCATTACCTCCTTCTCCTCCTGCAACCCAGCTGCTGCACTTCGTAGACAGCTGGGCTACTCTAAACTTTTATTTTTACCTAAGAAACTAAACTGAGAGCACTGGAAATGCTTCTAATTTAGGTTTATATGCAAATACCAGCAGAAGGCAACCCTGATGCCTTTTCGTTTTATCAAGTTTTACAAGAAATTTATTTCATTTTGATTTGCAGAACCCTTTTGATGATATAATACAGGGCAGCTGTTTAGAAAATGAAGGGATAGTTGCAGTGTGAAGAGAATGGCAAAATAGCAAGTGGGCACTCGTGTGATGATCTCTGAATGCCTGAAACAGATTCCTTCCCTCATGAGAAAACTTTGATCTTTTTTCAGCAGACTGAAAAAGCCCCTGCTCTTTTCTTGTGTCTATTCGAACGATAGCACCATCACCTGGATTATTATAGCTGATGGCACTGGTGTGCTTTGAATTACTATTCCTTTTAAGTGAGAATTGCAAAGCTGATCTGCATCATAGGTTGCTTGTTGTGTGGACTTTTATAAAATCAGGAGGGTTTAGCAATAATTATTCATAACTAGTTCATTTTTTTCACCTGTTTTTATTCACCTTGTTTATTTAAGAATAACTTCCAACAACCTCTCTTTGTGCATGGGCTCAAAACTGAAAAGGCTGATCCTGCAGCTGTCTTATTTCCATCACAGATGAAAGCATGGGAGGGACTTGGAAACTATCAAAATCAGACTTTATGTGATCTCTGTAACTTTTATACCAAAATGCTTACAAGATCAGTCCCTTTTAGAGGAGTTATAAAGAGGCAGTCTGCCAATACTATAATGGAGGCAGAAACTAAGAATGCAGAAGGCTTCCTTGCACAGGGCAGATACTCGAATCTGGCCAGGAATGTCCTTCCCACCTGTGTAGCTTTGAGGAAACCAGCTGTGGCTCCTCTTTAAGTTCCTGAGGCTACTAGACTTGAGTGCAGACAAGTGGTTGGACAAAAAAAAAAAATCATAGCACAATCAGAGTTCAATTAACGGTAATTATGCAGCATAAGAATAATTTGATCCATTTGGGGCAATGTCAAGCTGCTGCTAAGCAGAGCACAACACAATTGCACTCAGTCTACCTCAGTAGGGGCAGATGTTAAAATAAAATGAGAAATCTCTGCAATCTAAATAAGAAGTACACAGCATTTAGAACAAATTGTAGTGTCATTTGGCCAGAATATTGCGTTAACAGCTTTTCTCACACGAAAATACTGAAGAAAAACAGAGAGGGCACTGGTAGCTTCAACTTTAAAACACTGGTGTTTTCTGGGACTGCCCTCTGCAACATGAACTAATGTAGATAGAAAGAATTAATCTTTCGTTTCTCAACTGACAGTCAAGAGAAAAAAAAACAAACCTACACATCCAGCCAAGAACCACCCACCTCCCGACATCACCTCTATGCATTCAGGTGCCTTTGCAGTCTGCTCCTCATCCTCGTGCTGCCCAGCTGCAACATGGGTCTGTGACTCCAGTAGAGCAACCAGAGCTCACGGACAACTGACAACTTATTGCTCCTGCCCTGCTCCCCGTTTACAATAAATATAGCTTCAAACACCAAAAGTAATTTTAAAATTACCTCTCTTAGTTCTGCTTCGGTATTGAGGAATTCTGTGACACCACTGACAAGTTTTGAATTCATAAATAGTGCTTCTCCATACCTGCAAGGGTGAAAAGAAGATGCATGCAGAGTAAGTGCAAGTGCCAGACCAGCTGAAAATTAGAATATAAGTCTTCAGTTAGCAAGGGAGAAGACACAGGATGGATTCTGGAGATCCAAGGGAATAGTACTGGCACTGGACACTGGTAGATGAGTGTTTCATGCTAAAAGCCTGGATGGAGATGCTCTTCGAGGCTGAGCTATTTGTAGTTAACTTCTAGTCAGGTGCTACTTAGCAGAATAGGCTTAACTACAGCAGCAGATGATAGCTCCAGGGGAAGAGAGGAGCAAACCACACCACCACCTCATGCTTAACGAAACAGCTTTTCATGTAATGACAGCAAGCAGCTCAAAGAACAGGCACCAAAGAAGGGGCAGAGCAGAAACTACGAAAAAGTATTCTGAGGAACCTTTCTAGCTGTACCATTAAAACAGGCTTTTTGAAGTGTTGCAGCCTTCTCTGCATTTTATATTCATCTACCTCATCTACATTACAAATAGCCTCTCGATAAGTGAACTGAATCAAATTTTCTTGTTCCACTACCTGATAATTAAAATAAATAATACTGATAGATAATAATATTGCTAAAAAAACCCCCTGGGTCATGATGTAGCATCTTCAAAGAACCATTGTGGAATGAAAATTTGAAAGTTTGAGCAAAGTGTATTTAACGGGTAGGATATTCAGCAGCCGTCTGCGATGCCATTCTACAGGTAGTTGCTTTGAAACTGGTCATTCAAATCCTACTGTTCCACTTGCTTTTCCACAAGTTTTTTTCAATCTCCCAAATGAAGCATCTACATCACTTGTAAAATCAACCAGATTACTTCTGAAGTTTTGCATTTCACGTTGGAATAGTTTGTAGTCGCGTTCTTTTTGGTGGTTGTTTTTTTTTTTCAATGTCTCTACCATGAAGGATACAATTCCATTGGAAATCTAAAGTCTTTTGTTCAAGTTAGATGTCATTCAGCATAGTAAAAGGCACTTGACAAACAGTTATCCTTATCTGCACATACACCCAAAGCAGTATCTAGCTAATCTGAACATGACTGGTTTTAAGATAGGGAATCCAGCTCTCCTGTCAGACATGTGTACGTAATACCAATAGACTTCACTGCAATTAAGTTTATCTGGAGGAACAATGCAGTTCATACCCTGCCTTTACAAGCTGATTTATAGGAGGAATTCAAAATTCAAAGTGCGACGAAGTAGCACAGTCACAGCTTTCTGTTCTGCTTCTATTAATCCCAAATTAATTACCCTTAAGTGCTGAGGTACTGTAAGCCACAGTCCTTTCAAGAGGGAGAAAGAAAGAGAAAAGGAGAGGGATAGGTCCAGGGAAAAGGACAGAAAGTGAGAGAGGGAAGAAAACTAGATTTTCTTTGAGGAGATTCTGTTTTAGGAAAGGTGTGCACTGTGTTGCTTGCTACCTTGAGCTTGTGTGAGGCTAAACACAGTATCAAAAATATTTCCTGACCGCTAATAACTGTATTACCCATGGATATTTCAGAAAGTACATCTCTTTTTCCAAACCTTCAGTCACACTGACATACATCATATACAGTCATGCAGAGGCAAACACCTCCTAGGGGAAGTATGGATTTCATGGTCCTTTTAAGCACATTTAGGCTCTCTAACAAAGCCCTTTATTATTACAGTCTCAGCTTAGCCTCATAATTGACTGCTTGAAAAATTGGAAGCTCCTCTTGATGGGGTGTTTTGACAAGGTTACCAATCCATTCTACAGAAGCGGCCTCATCAAAACAGTTGCACAAGTTTTATTTTTTCTTGCAGTCTGTACTGTAGTCACAATACAAACAAGAAGCAGCAGAATTCCTTCCACTGAAAATGATACCTTCATGAATATCTGTGCTGCCCGTTATGCATACTTGGCAAAAAGTAAGCCACTAACAGCCATTTCTAAATGGGCTCTGCTGGCAAAAATTCTAGAAAAGCTACCTCCCACAATTTTTCACCTTTGCAGAGGTGAAACATAAGAATAAATAGAAAAAATATTCGGTCTTGCAAGTATCAGCCTTCCCATCCTTCACAGAAAAGACAACAGCGCTGCAGAACCAGGACCTTGCATGACTGAGCTCCCTGAAGACATCTTAGAGTCACAGGCTCTCCACCTGCTCCTTTACTTTTGGGGCTGTGAACCTCCAATACCTCACACTTCAAGAGGCTTTGCACATTCATGAGCTCAAACTGAGAGGTAGCATAGTCCATTTACTTTGAACAGGTGTAAATGGCTTCCCAAATGTCAAATTCCCAAATGCTGACAAATTATAGAATCATGGAATCATTAAGTTTGAAAAAGATTTCTAAGATCATCAAGTCCAACCATCAACCCAACACTACTGTGACTACTAAACTATATGCTGAAGTGCCACGTCTACATGTTTTTTGAATACCTCCAGAGATAGTGACTTCACCACTTCCCTGAGCAGCCTGTTCCAATGCTTCACCACTCCTTTAGTAAAGAATTTTTTCCTAATATCCACTGTAAATCTCCCTTGGCACAACTTAAGCCCATTTTCTCTCATCCTATCACTAGTTACCTGGGAGAACAGACCAACACCTACCTCACTACAACTTCCTTTCAGGTAGCTGTAGAGACCAATAAGGTCTACCCTGAGCCTTCTTTTCTCCAGACTAAACAATTCCAGCTCCCTCAGCTGCTCCTCATAAGGCTTGTTCTCCAGATCACTCACCAGCTTCGTTGCCCTTCTCTGGACCTGCATCAGCACCTCAATGTCTTTCTTATAATGTGGCGCCCAAAACCAAACACAGTGCTTGAGGTGCGGCCTCAACAGTGCTGAGTACAGGGGCACAATCACTTCCCTCCTGCTGACATCACCATTGCTGACACAGGCCAGGATGCCGTTGGCCTTCTTGGCCACCCGGGCACACTGCTGGCTCATGTTCAGCCAGCTGTCCATCAACAGCCCCAGGTCCTTCTCCGCCTGGCAGCTCTCCAGTCACTCCTCCCCAAGCCTGTAGCACTGCCTGGGGTTGTGGTGACCCAAGGGCAGGACCCAGCACTTGGTCTTGCTGAACCTCATACAACCAGCCTCAGCTCCATCGATCCATCCTGTCCAGGTCCCACTGCAGAGCCTTCCTACACTTCCAGCAGATCAACACTCCTGCTCAGTTTGGTGCCATCTGCAAAGTTACTGAGGGTGCACTTGATTCCCTTCTCCAGATTAATGATAAAGATGTCAAACAAGACTGGCATTTGAGAATGAAGGAATTCTTGCAGGCAGCTGTTGGATTAAATTTTCACACACAGACACACATGATAAAAATTATTTAGGAGCCAAGACAGTGCATGCCTGGGTAACAGGAATTCAGATATAGTATTTTCAAATATTTTTTTCAGAATTTTAGCAGTCAGCCCCATGGATTTCTTACGAAAGACTTTTGGGCACCACAGTTTCTAAGACACCTTTGTAAATGGCATAAAAGTGATTTTGAAGACTTTATACATTATCAGTATCTTCTGAACAATGCGAATTCAAGCACACTGTAAAAATATAAAGGGATAACAGTATTTTGTTATCATTCTAACTCTTTGTCATGCTGTGTTTTAAAGTTCAATGAAATAGTGCTACAGTGTAATTTAATCACCGTCAGCTATTTCATATTACTATCTCAAATGTCAACACCTTTTATAATAAATTGAATAGAAAATATGATTGAGATATCACCTTATTAAATTAATGTTTCGTACAAAGTATTTTAATTTTAGATAAAATTAAATAATAAATTATAATTATAGGAAAAAGATTGCTTGAGGGTTAGAGAGCGTCTGTCCGTGTTAGTGGCCGGCCCAGCCCGAACCCGTGACAAGAGTATACTTGAATTATAAAATTCTGCAATTAAGCTTGTATTTCAAAAATGTACTAATGTGGCAAGCTTAAATTAGAAGCCAAATTCTGCATCCTACTATGTCACTGTTTCACTGTAGATTAAACTGTAAGGTGTTAGATTAATTCCACCCTCTCAATATCTCTCTTAAAAGGTTTTAATCCATAATGACAAAGCAAAGTTATTTTCAATATACATGACATATACATGTACATCACATGTACAGCTTACATGAACTATTTCATTCTACTGCATTGAATCTTTTGATGATAGACAGAAACTCAACTGGATGCAACTTTCAGATAAATGCAACTGCTACAGTTCTTTTGGTGGCTCTAACTTGTGTTTGGAGGTCAAACTAAATGTAAATAACATAATGTCAGTATTGGGCAAAGAGACGAACTCTCTGCTATTTACTAATTAAAAAAAGGGACAATAACAGGTTTTTGATGAGGTCTTGCTGCTTGTTAGGAACTCGCACAGTGATGATGCATTCCAAGCAGGATAAATAAAATTAAAATTTTAGGTGAAGTTAAGCTATTTAAAATTAAAGCACATCAAAAATTTGCCATATGGCACAGTTTGCTAAATATTGTCCATTTGTCTGCACTGATTAAACTAGTCCATGTTTAAAGTCACAAGTGTGAGTTAGGTTGTCAGATGAATGTACTGGCTAAGGCAGGACCCAACTTCTACATATGCTTTTGAAGTAATACAGTTTTTGACAGGTTTATGCCTAAAGTCTGTATAAATCCATGGAAGAACTTGAAAAATTATTTGCTATCCAGATCATAACTAACCACACTGGGTTGCATAACAGTAACAGGTCTGCCATCCACTTTCTGTGTAAAAGTTCAGTTCCTGGAATAATCATATCAGAAGCAGAGGATTCTTAATTTTTAAAATCTTCAACACTCTTAAGGCTTTTTGGAAATTGCTTTCAAAGAGTATGCTTCTGCAATATAAACTTCCAAAACCAATTCCAACTCAAACCTATTTTCTCAGTTCAACTTCTAAAACCCCATTATACTAAAAAATATTGTCTAAAATAGCATGAACAGCTTCTTGAACCTTTAGGGGGGTTGTACAGTCTCTGAGTTTCCTTGACTCTTCTTTCAATGTCATGAATCATAGAATCACAGAATGGCCTAGGCTGGAAGGGACCTTAGAGATCATCTAGTCCAACTCCCTGTCATGGGCAGGGACACCTCTCAACTAGATCAGGCTCCTCAAGGCTCTGTCCAGCTTGGCCTTGAACACCTCCAGGGAGGGGGGAGCCACAACATCTCTGGGCAATTTATGCCACCCTCGTACTGAAGAATTTCTTCCTAAGATCTAATCTAAATCTGTTCTTCTTCAACTTAAACCCATTTCCCCTTGTCCTATCAGTGGACACTCTTGTAAAAAGTCCCTCCCCAGCCTTCCTGTAGGTTCCCTTCAGGTAGGCAGCTATTAGGTCCCTCCAAAGTCTTCTCTTTTCAAGACTGAACAATCCCAGCTCCCACAGCCTGTCCTTGTAGCAGAGGTGCTCCAGCCCCTGGATCATCTTTGTGGCCCTCCTCTGAACATGCTCCAACAGATCTATGTCCCTCTAATGGTGGGGACACCAGAACTGGATGCAGTATTCGAGGTGAGGTCTCACAAGAACAGAGTAAAGGGGGAGAAATCACCTCTCTTGACCTGCTGACCACGCTTCTCTTGATACATCCCAGGATGCGGTTGGCCTTCTGGGCTGCATGAGCGCACTGCCGGCTCATGTTGAGCTTCTCATCTATCAACACCCAAAAATTCTTCTCTTCAGGGCTACCTATAGTAAATTTGTACCAGTATTCATCAGGCACTAGGATTTAGTTGCTTAAATACAGCATGTTAAATATACCATTTCAAATATTCTGTGGTGTATTAGACAGCTCCTCACAAGTCAAGAACAGAACAGATCTCCAATACTTTTTCTGCCAACACCATGGCAGTGGCCTGGCGTAGGGTGTCTAAAGTTCTTGGACATCTGCCCGTAAGAACTTGAACCTTATCTGAGTTGCGGTGCCTTCTAATCTGTCAGTATTAGATGAGCTGCTGTGAAATCTTTCAGACCCTCAGGCAGTCCCTAAAGAACTGAAGAAATATGTCGTTCATTGAATTAATATCAAAATCTTCATCAAAAAGGCTTTTTAAATGTTGATTGGGCTTCTGAGCAGGAGTATGTAGCACTTGTTCAAAGACAAAGAGTGGAAGGTATAAGGAACAACACTGTCTCCTTCCTGTTCATCTATTTTTAATTCAAAATGTCGCTCCTCTGTTACTTGAAACTAGCCTGAAACACAGAGTGGAAGGAAAGGGGATGACACTAAATTAGCATCCTTTTGAAAATGGAAAAGTTTCAAATAGGGTTTGCTTAACACAGTTGAAAAAATGTTCTTGAAAAGATTTTTTTTTCTATCAGACTTAAAATCAGCAAATTCCTTTGGGAACTGCTCCTTTTTTTTTCTATGTAGAACTGCCACACTTGACATATAGACAGAATCCATTACCATAAGCACAGACACAATACAGTAATGGATATATATACAGATGATCATTAAGAGATAAATGTTTCTATGCATGTATGTGATAATTCATGAATAAATGCATTTATGACTAATATGTATGTATTTTATATTTAGAGACATCTCTATGGATTTGAAGACAATGAACTAGATCCAGGAATTTACATGAGTACATACATATCCAATACCTACATGAATTACATCAAGAAATTAAAATAAATTTGACTTTTTATCTTTACCTAGCATTTAGTATTTTCCACTTTTCTCTGAAAAATTTCCAAGCAAGATCCCTTCCATGTGGATTTCGAGCTACATGGATTATCACATCAATTGCATCCTGATCCAGGACTACTTCTGAGTTGAGAGACAAATTCAAAAGCCTGGTGAAAGAAACAAGGGAAAAAAAAGTCCTATTTAGTTTCATCAATAAATAGTCTAACATCAGTCAACTCTCAGGAAAAAAAAATCACTGTCAAATGGTTTGTTTAAGTCTCCAAGTGAGTTCAGTGTTTTATTTCTATGATTTCAAAAAACAGACACATCTATGAATCAGAAAAATCTTGAGGTAAAAGAATTTCAGTAAGAACTAAGTGGAACTTTACATGTACATTTTTATGAAATCAGTCAACCCATTTAAATAAAGAATACACTAACAAAAAAACCTCAGTAATTATTATGGAGTTTCAAACACTTCCAATGAACACAGGAAAATTTGGAAATGAAAATATGTGTCAATTTTCATATGCATTAATGCAAAAAACATAAGACAGTTTAAACAGACAGTAAGCCTCTACTTGAAAAGCAAGTTCTTTCATTTACACCAAAGCTCCAGTGATGATCCATAAATGTTGAAGTGATTATGGGTAATAGTCAGATACAGATATATGATATTTTTGTACCTGTTGAGCAAGTTTCTGTCATCACTGCAAGTTAAGGCTTCTAACAAGATTTTCTTCTCAGACACTGCTGTGGTAGAATGAAATTTCATCCAAATGAACTCCCATACGTCTTCATCCATCAGTGAAACTCCTGTGCAGTAGACAATGTCTCTCACATTGAGTGGGATTCTATGAAAGAAATCAGTATTATCGTTGTGGTAAATAAACAGCCTCCTGATAGTGGAATCAAAAGAGGAACATCACTACATTTATGAGACTCCAAAATTCATAAAATCATGGAACCGTAGAATTGTCAGGGTTGGAAGGGACCTTAAAGATCATCTAGTTCCAACCCCCCTGCCATGGGCGGGAACATCCCCCACTAGATCAGGTTGCTCAGAGCCCCGTCCAGCCTGGCCTGAAAAACTTCCAGGGATGGGGCTTCCACCACCTCTCTGGGCAACCTGTGCCAGTGTCTCACCACCCTCATGGGGAAGAACTTCCTCCTAACGTCCAATCTGAACCGATCCATCTCTAGCTTTAATCCATTCCCTCTAGCCCTATCACTACCTGACATCCTAAAAAGCCCCTCACCAGCTTTCTTGTAGCCCCCCTTGAGATAGTGGAAGGCCACAGTAAGGTCTCCTCAGAGCCTTCTTTTCTGCAGACTGAACAGCCCCAACTCTCTCAGTCTGTCTGCACAGGAGAGGTGCTCCAGCCCTCTGATCATCCTCATGGCCCTTCTCTGGACACGCTCCAGCACGTCCATATCTTTCTTGTGCTGTGGGCTCCAGAACTGGATGCAGCACTCCAGGTGGGGTCTCACAAGAGTGGAGTAAAAGTGCATCAATAACCTTTTTTTGGAAAATTACATTTGCATCTCTTTAGCGCTATCAAAATCTTCCAGTCCATCCTAATGGACTTTCGAACAGGTAACACATGCTTGCCATTCCTTCCATAACGTTCTCTCATTGTCAGGAGACTATAAATTACGGTCATCCAGTTCATCAACACATAATGCACCACATAACCTGGAGGACAGGGAACGTTAGCTCTCCAAATTAGCATGGGATCTCATAGCTGTTGCTGGGCTCTAAGCCAAATCTCTTCTTCTTGTCCTTAGTACTGAGAGTTTAGAACAGGAGCTCGTCAATCAGAAACTCCTCCTCACTTATGCTGTGAAGTCCTCTGTCTCCATGCAGTAAGGAAAGATGTGTAAGACAATGCTACTGAAAAACTGTGTTTTCAGGAGTGAAGACAATAGAAAGATGTGCTCCTTTTTTCAGCATATTAATATCACTACAAAATGAGTTATGCCATAGAACAGTTATGATTACTGCTCACGTAATATAAATTTGGAAAGCTTCTTGAAGCCAAATTCAGACCTAGTATAAGTTGTAGCATTTTCTTCTAAAAAGATCTCAGCTGGGCTTTCAATTTCCTACCCTACTAAATGTTTCCTATACAAGCATAGGAGCTGAAACATCTGTGATCTAAAGCATCCTCCTGTAGATAAAGCTAGACATTTCTCAGAGGAATATGCTTCCGATTTGCAGAAAAGAATGCTCTCTTGTTGTTGATAAAAATTATACCAAACCACAGTTTTCTAGTTAGTAATAGCTGGGCTGAAACACTTCTGGAATTTCATATGCAAGATCTTTTTAGAGAATCCAGAAGTACATACAGCTGCTGTCAGTGTCATGGCAGTAATACAGTGAGACAAAAATGAAATTACCTTTGTAAAATTTGATATGAAATCTTACACAGCACAGAAACAAAAGGTTACATCAATACTTTAATTATAATTCTTTCACCAAAGTCCTACACCATAGACTGGGCTATCCCAGTCAAGAACAAGGAGGTTCTTTTACTCCCATCTCTTCATTCTCCACAAAGTAGGCAAGGAAAGAAACCGTACATTGGTGACCATCAAGGGTGACAAACTGTTGTCACCTCTATGGGGTTAGCTGGTTCCAACAAATATGATGGTTTCTTGAAAAAAAGAACAAAAGGAATATGTACCTAAATTAAGGCAAAACTGGGAAAAAAAAGTGCATTCCTCCTATTACTGGCTGAAGAACTTTGGGGAATTAATGCCTATCGCTTTTTTGTTACGCTTTTTCTTGACTAGCAACAAAGTCCTGAGGTTGAGGTTTTACTCATTCTCTGGCAAGTGCAGTCATCAGCTCAGAGGTTTAGGTGCAGACAGTCACACGATTTATTTTTTTTTCTGCTGAGCTGACATGGCTCAGGATAGTGCTGCTGCTTGGAGATTTCTGTAGCAGAGTCCTGTGCTAACAGAGCCACAAAGGGATGCCTTAACTACTGCTGAGGTATTTTGTATTTGATGCAGACAAACTCAGACATATATTCAGTTATGACCACACAGCTCAAGCAATTCTTGCATGTCACTGACTTAAATGACTCAACGTTCATATGACTTGAAAAGCTCGACAGTGAATAAAGGTAGTAATTCTCCGCAGATTTACCCAGAATCAGGGGGTTTGGCTTATGTACAGTCTAGGCAACTGCTTCTGTGGTCCCTATAGAACTGCTATGCCAACACCAAGGAAACCAGAAAAATTCTTAAAGCCGACCAGATCCATTAAAAGCATACATGGGCAGTAAACAAAAAAAGTTGTCACTTTCACCAGCCTTTCAATACTACTGAGTTTTGATTCTCAAAAATTGAGTTAACATTAGTAAAATGTGAGTTTGGTTGACATTTACAGAATTATCCATGTGTGCTAGGTGCTGAATTTCCATTTCACTGTAATGGAATCTGTGCTTATTTGAAAGTCGATCATTAAGCCCTTGTTGCAATATTTCTAACATCAATGAATATCTACAGTTTATTTTCCTTCATTTAACCTTTCTTTCAGAAAGTGCATGCAAAGGAAACTGTATAATTGAGCCTATTACAAAAAATTAAGACGAGAAATCAAGACATATTAAATGAAGCAGATATTTAGGTGCTGCCTTTGTGTTGGCTTATATTAACTCAGAATGAGTCTTAAAGTTTTCTAAATAACTGCAACTCTCAAAACTTTGGGTGAGCAATTACAGTAGCATAAATATGCAGCCATATACACATACACATAACATGACAGTGTTATTATCATTGTGTCTTAATTTTCTGATACACTAGCTTACTCGTTCTTAACGCACAACTTTCTTATCAGCTTATGCAGTGTTTTCTTGCTTTTGATTTGGGATCTAATACACTGACAGCAGCCGTAAAAACATATGCTAAACCAAAAGGACTAAGGGATGCTGTCCTGACTGTTGGGATCAAACAACCCATTGCCCCAAATCTTATGTCTTATCATATGATATCTGAATATGAAGAACAACTGAACCCAGTCAAGCCTTATTTCAATGAAGGAAGGTCTTTATATTTTGACACACAAACACTAAATCATTTTTAAGAACACACAGTTCTTCTTGAGTTTTGCCAGCAGAAATATTATCTTTGGTTTACTGCTAGAGATGTAACTCAGCCACTCTAAGGGACAGCAAGGCACCTGGAAAAGGTATTTCTTTTTTGGTTGATTGCCCCATTAATTCAGGTAAGAACTGTGTGCTGTAAGGACCGTCACTCTGTGTTTGGCTAGTACAGTCTGCAGCAAGATGTACCTAGAAGTGGATGTCTAATCCCAGAAAGGTCAGCAAACTTCTGAGGTTTACATCTTCGAAATTTACAGTAGAACATTTCGATTCTGTGGGCTTTCCCAGCTGCACCATCTTTTGTGTTCTAAGTGCCAACACTAACGATTTTAGCAGCAGTGCAGTTGGTAACCGCAGGACCACTTGCATGCACTGGTAAGGAACGAGGACTCAAGACAAGTGCCAGCACTGTTCCCATGGCTGTAGCCTAGATATCACCACGTTTTTTGCTAAGAAATCTGTATTGCCACCAAAGGGCAATAGTATACTTGCAGTGCTGCAGCAGATCTAACTCAATGCCATCCAACCAATTGCTCCAGGGAAGGTTTTAGTTCTCTATCTATAAGCTAAGTCATTAGGACAATGTGAAAAAAATCAGTCTCTACAAACCAAGACATCAAAACAAATACTGATTTTAAAAGGCTTAGCTCTAGAAACTAGAAAACATATGGCTATGAAAAGCTACAAACCACCCCTGTGAGAGGCTTGTAATCAGGACTGTAGACAGCAGGGCTCTTCTTGGGAAAATGAAAATTGTTCATGAAAATGTGAATATTCCCAAATTCACTTCCCTTTAACTATTGCCTCAACAGAGAGCCCTTTAACTGAATTTTCCCTATTTGTGGAGATTTTTGCCTTCTCTCTCCTCCAGTCACTCTGGGCCTGTATTTCATTGTTATCTAAATATGTGAAATCTCCCTAGTCTACAGACATTTTAATTTTATAGCCTCATGGAAAATGTTCCAAGGCACTAGACCAGCACATGGAATGTTTGCCCCCTGCATTAACTGAATCCAATGGATAAAATTACCACCATTTCAGTACCTCTTAGGTAGCAACACTGCAGAACACATCCTCTTTTTATGTTAAACCTCATCTGGGCCTTCAAGGCTGCTCTCATTTTTAAAGAGCTAATATGATTGATGGATACTTCAGAAGAACAAAGATAAAGATTAACTTTTGAAAGCATCACTTTAAATGGCTTTTATTTGAATACTGATCCAATTTATTTAACTTTATTTTTCTGGCTTAAGAGATATGATAGTGAGAGAATGAAATATGTAGCTAGCAGAGCTCATGTTTAAAAATTAAACACTTTGGGAAAAAAAGTTAAAAATTAAACAGTTAGAAAAAAATTAATTAAAATCGTGCTGTGCCTTTACAGGGACTTTTTTTTTCAAGAGTGAATAATAAAGCTCCACAATGAGCTGAGAATAATCTTCTAAGTTATAATTAATTGGTACATACTTGCTCCTATTTAAAGTATGTTCTAACAATTGGAGATACACTTATAAAATTGAACCATAATTATTTATCTTCTGGGCAAATTGTGTTCTAATTTTTTAAAATGTAATTGCACACAGTTTAGACAGTTCTTTGATTAAGTGACAAATTTCAATACCATTTAGGGTACTATATGACAAAGAAAATTAATCAGAAACATTATTCTTTATTTTTGCACATATTTAACATTTTCTTGATGACTATATCTATAGTTTTGTTTAATAGATTACAAGGCTCAG